ACAATGCTTATTTACAGCGTGTGTGCCTACATTGTTTGCCGTTGCATCCAGAACAGAAAATTGCACTTACTCAATTGCGGACGATCCGTACTATTTGGGACGCTGTGCTATCTCTGGAAAAAACATGTGCAGCACACTACTCCCTCGAGAACAAGTCTGTCACTGCGAAAGCCTTTCGCAAACAGCAGAAACAAATGAGAGAAGCAAGTAAGAAAAACATCAAATCTGTGGAAGAACATTGCTTTGATAGGCTGAAAGAAGTGGCCTGGAATGACTCCCAGCTCGCAAGGGAGATTTATTTGGTGTGCCAGGAAAACGACTGGGAATTGACACCGGCGTTACTTGAGTATGCTACCAGTATTTTCGGAGGACCTTGCCAAACAAAGTTTGAATTGGAAGATGTTTTTGCCCATCTGACGTCAGTGGAGAAGTTGAGCACCCTTGCCAGTGGCAGCAACAAGCTACTTGATCATTTGGTTAAAGAGAACCATTTTTTACTATTTGTTCAAAGTAATTTTTAAAAGACTAGTTCAATCCCCTGATCAACCCTTTCAGATCCAATCAGGTGGAGTCGATATTTCTACGCTACAACAGTGCCATTTCATTCGTCTGATGAATATGGGTGGCCACAGCTTCGCACCACCATCCATGACCATGACAGTGGTCGGCTACCTACTGCAGAAGGCTTAGGTGGAAAGTCGTTCATGAGCAACGAGGGGTGTCACCTACCTCCTGACATCCAGAAAGAGCTCATGAACATGAGGCTATGGCAAACCAGGAAGGCTGGTACCATATCCAATCAAAAGTCTGCTGCTTCCACATCATGGACTGTCCTGAATGCCAACTCAAAGTTCGCAGCGGCCGCATTGTCATGGGCAGGACGGTCATTCCCAAATGCTTATTGGTACTTGTTACATTGTTGAATCGAATCAACCAAAAATGTTGCTTATAATGACCAGACTGTAGTTGTCATTGTCAATGACCAGACTGTAGTTACCATTCTCATCTCAAGCCACTGATCTAGGATGCTTATTGATGAAAGGGCAGGTCTACCGGAACAGCAAGAGTGGTCGTTACTATGTCAGCCTTGGCTTCCGACAATGCGCTGCATTGGGATTACTTCTCACAAAGCTGTCTGTGGATGATGGCGAGGTGTGGTACTCAATCATAATCATGATCAGTGTCTTCAGTCTGATTAACAAACGGACTGACAGACTTTGAGCCCTGAGTCTGACTGATAAATCTGATATTGTCTGAGTTAGAATGCACTTAGTATTGAAAGACACCAAAACAGTTGGGGGGGAAACAATAACAATAATATAGATCGTTAAGTTTAATTCCATGGATCAACATGAACATCAACCCAGTGCAGGTGTTCTTCATGTTCAGCCGGGACAGCGTTGCCAATCGATTGGGGCCCAGTTGGATTTTCAATGACAAGGTTTCTGGTAGTTGGACGTTTATTCCGTTTCAACTGGCTCACCCATGGCAGCTTCCAGCACGGCTTCGTCAATATAACTGCGTGCTACATCAGACTGGTCCAGAAGAAGATCTTCTATCAGGAGCCCTAAGAAATCATATCTTCCTTTCCAAGGATCAATTGGTGACCATCCAGACAGAGATTGGGTATCGGATGACACCCAAAGGGAGTGGACATGGAAAGAATGGTCGGCTTGTGAAGCAGGACTGGGCTGAATGTTTGGTCAACCACTTCTTCAACGACACAAACAGTTCTCGTCAAGCACGATTTTTGATGGTGAAGGCACTGCTTGGTCGTGGGTGGAAGCACACTGAGGCTACTTCCAAGCATTACACACATGACATCATCCAGGCATTTCAGTGCCTTGAGAAAGAGGATGAACGGGAGTACATGGAGATCACACAAGTCGCAATGGACCAGGAAGCACTATTCAAAGCACAGGAATCTCGTGGGCAGAACAGAGAATCCACGCACAAAGGATTCCACCAGCATGAGACCCCAAAGACTTTGCAACACCTTGTTCCAACGAATGAGCAAGGAGTCAAGTGTGGTGCAGTGTATCGACATCCTGTACTCAAGCGCTACCAGGGATGGTATTTTGCAGAGCCGTCACCAGATGAGACTCGAGGACCAGAGCGGGTGATTCCAATGACTCACAACAACTGCAGACCGAGACCACACAGACAGAAATACTCATAGACTCACAAGTTTAACAAACCTAACTGACTGAACTGTAGTCAGTCACAAACATTTGTAATGTATAGATTAGACAAATCAGACTCGACTTGAGGAAAACGCATGATTGTTTTTAAAATGAAAACATGTTAAAATCAGTCAGACTGACTGTCATGAATAACAGAGAAACTGGACAGGACTCAGTCTGACTCAGGCTGTAACACTGTACCTTGCAGGACGGAAGTATAGTCATGCCACTTACTGGCATGGGAAGAAACGCAATATGACAGAGGATGCTGCTCTTTGGCAAGTCGTGTGCTACATTTGGGGAGTTCACAAAAAGCTTGGCCATTCAGTTGAAAAGCAGTGCCTGAGTTCAGAATAATACCATTGTTCTTTCAAGACTTGTTACTGTTTTGTTTGGGGTGGTTATATGTGTTTGCGTGTTTGAGGACTCTCAGGACTCCTCAGTCAGACTCAGACTGACAGACTGGGACTTGTGCGTGCGAGACACTGTCGTAACGTGAGACGCGTATATTTTAAATGTATGCCTGTGTCAATCAAGGCCAGCAATGAAGGACATTGTCGAAGTTGTGGAGCGATTCACATCAAGCACTGGCTTTCTTGGCGCAGAAGGGAGTCAGTTGAGCCAGAAAAGTGAGGCATCAGAGCCTACAGCTGTGGAAAAGGCCAAAAGGTCCAAGTCGACAGCTGCCCCAAAGGCCAAAACTCACAAGTCTGCTTCGCCTAAGGCGAAGAAAGACAAAAAGGTGAAGAAGCACCATGTAAAGTGAAATCTCGCGAATCGCTGGAGATGAAAGAATGTGGATTTCGATAACGGGGGTGTTGGGAGAGAACGGTAATTGCATGCCACCCCGAGCCTGTACACGTCACACTTATGAAGATCACTCTAAGACCATCTAAAATGTCTGAGTTGACACTATTGCAAATAAAACATTGCAACAGTCATACTTGAATTTCTGGAAGTCCTCAGCTCCCCCTGAGACGTCTAAGGCCGCTTTTCTGGGCTTGCCCTTGGTGGTTCTTCTGGCTTGGCTCAACGTTGAAGACCGCTGGTGGAGCAGCAGCTCAGCACAGCTCAGCCTGGTGGGAGCCCTTAGAGTTCGGGAGCCCTTAGCCCATCTCATCCAATAGTGAACTCAGTTTGATTTGCCCACATGACCAGACTGTCGATATTTTTCCAAGAATATTCATGCGATTTCATGAGTCCAGAATTGGAAGACTGCCCGATCATTGATTCTCACTAGCTGCAGCTAGTGCTTTGACCATCTTGGACCTATTTGTTATGCCTTTGTTGTTTACCTTCAGATTAGGGTCAAGGGGATTCATGTCCCTGGCGCGTAACTCCACCCGTGTTTTTCCGCGTCCAGGTTCCGTACCTGTGGATTGGCCGCTGGTCCTGGGCAGCGCGGGTTGCGATATCATTTACAACACCGCGCTGGCCTGGGGGCTGGCGCTTGGGCTGAAATGTGGATTCTGTTTGCGGCTTGGTGTGTGTGTGTGACGGGCAATGTGCCTACCCAAGGTACGGAATCCGCAAATTAATCACCCAGGCCAAGACTTCTCCCTCATGTCCTTGCCTTGCGGTGCAGAGAGCCCATGAGCCTAGGCAGTGACCAGCCCTGTTTTCATCGCGGTCGGTGTGAATGTGGGCACACCAGACGCTTGGCTGAAAAAGACACTCCGAACCGTGGACGACCATTTGCCGTCCCAGACGAGCGCGGGGCTTTGAGGATGTTCGGTCGCCCCAACTCCAAGAGTCACCCATCCTCCAAGAATCATGGAAGCACATGGAAGCAGAAAAGGATGGAAATGGCCTTCGGAAAGACCATTGTGACCATTGGGTATTGTTTTCAGTGGTTTCCCCCTGCTTCGAAGGAGTTCATCGTGCACGTCTAAAACCACGCGTCATCCATTCAGGTCAACATGCTGGTGGATGCTTTGCTGCATGGTTTTTGGCCCTCCATCGCACAATACTGTGGCACTCTATTGATCGCAGTGTCCTTCGTGATTTTGGCCGCTTGGCAGTCCGCTTGGCCCTTTTATTCCTTAGTCATGACCATAACTGAGCGACCTTGGTCCACCTTGGCTGGCTTATTAATGATGGCTTTAGCGTCACAGGGCTTTGCCATCCAGGCACGTGCCGGACTCAGGTCTTGGGCCCAGCTGATCGCCCAGTTCCTGAAGCGGAGCAATCCTTGACGTTAGCTCGCACGTGAGGGCCATTGGTGCGCCACTCGGGTGGATGAAGATACAGATTTGGTAGTTGTTAGCTTCAGCGAGGTTCCCAATAGAAGTCAGACTATGCGGTTTCGGCCTGGGCCACCTGGACCGCCACCTGCGCTTGGGATCTCAGGTCTTTCGCTACTTGCTGAGGGCACCACTCTTGGGGACCCTACGGCCGAAGGCTGAGGCGAAAATGATTTGCCCTAGGAACAAGAAGCTATTAGGAAAAAGTGCATCGCTACTAGTAACAAGTGCCTTACTACTAGTAATAAGAAGCTATTAGGAACAAGAAGCTGCTAGAAGCTCCTGGCATCGCTACGAACGGAGCGATCGGACGCTACGAAGGAAGGGCCGGGTGGCCTTACCACGGGCGGAACAAGAAAGAAATGCATCCCTGGGAGGCATGTTCCTGGCATCAGTTGATTCACTCAGCTGTTTGTGAAGTATTGGATAGAATCTTATCCTTGGTTTGATGGGAGGTTCCCTTGCTGGGGTCCATTGAATGCACTGCCCAGGGATGTCCATACTTACATGATAAATTCCCACTGCTGTAATTACCGTTTCCATCCATGTCACCTGAACGTGTCTCCGCCCTGCCTTGGCTTTAGCCGACCAATCTGTGGCCCGGGGCTTTCGCTTGAGCCCTTCTGGTGCGCCATGGCTTTGGAGCTCTTACTGTCGGGTGCCGCGATGGCACCCAGTGCCCTTAGAGCAAGGTGGGGCATCAGATCCCCGGTCTTGGCAGAAGGCTTTGCTTTCATGCTTCATTGGCTATTATGTTTACAGATTGCAACTCTGAAGTTCTGGTTTTAATATATGTGTTGTAACGTAAGACATGCTTATGAATCAGAGAGTGAATCAGATTCAACACAGTACCTAAAGGATCCTAAAAAGGCTGTGCCATCGACTTTTTTCACCCCGTTTGCACATGGAGCGTCAAGATCAACAAAGCGATTGGGTAGCAGAATGAGGCCTTGGAAAAGACATCCGGGCCAAGTGCTGCCATATTTCGATGGACGGTGGACTCCTTTGATTTGACTGTTTTGATGGGGTCAAGCCACTAGATCCTCTTTTGGCGGGCCCTCTAGAGTAGCATGTGGCTCAAATTTCTCGGGCTATTACATGGCCTGAGACTTTAGGGCAGATTCATCATCAATGATACCACAATTGAAATCAATCAATTAAGCCCATGCCACCCTCTCATTGGGACTTTATATAGTGTTTTGCCGAGGCATCCCTATCATTCAATATCTACTGATGCCATGCTCTCAGACAGGCACCTGGACATCATGGATGATTTGGGCTCCACAGAATGTCTTCGGAGTCCTGGATGGTGGCTGTGCTTGCCATTTGGGCTGCAAGTGGGGGGACAGGGGCAGCCTGTGAAACTGATGAAACATGATGAAATTGGGCCATTAGACTTACAGGCATCACTGTTTTGGTTGTGAAGACCAGCCAGAGCACCAACTAATCATGACTAATCATGATTCATAGCGAATCCAAATTGTTTTGAGCATCCTTTGAGGCTTGGAGTCTCGACGAACTACCTTATGCATGGCTTTATCTGGAACTACCCCTCCCGATTTTCGGCGCTTTGCCAGAAAGCGCCCCTGAAGATCCTTGGTGGGCATCCGGTGGATGTCTTTGCATCCTTAGAGGCGCATGAAGGATACATCCCATTCAATGGTCACCAATGGACCCCGGGTCTCATTTCTGAAGGTTCCTGTTTGGAAGAGATGTATGTTTGCCATTACCGTTGGATGTGAAGGTGATTGTACCGTCTCGCAAAACCAAGCGAAGCTCTCCTTGATGTGTTTATTTGTGCACCGCAGAGTGTTCGTCAAAGATCATGTGCAACCGACATCGTTCTTACGACGTCCATCTGGACGCATTTCGCAGGTGGTGGCGAAGATTATCCAGGGTTGCTCTTTGCTGGCCTTTCTGGGCAACTTGGAGCACGGCGTTCATGGTGCAGTGAGTGACCAGAGTAGAGGCTAGAAGGTGTGGTTCCTTTAAATTGTTTGTCCCGCGTTCTCAAAAGGTTTGCCAATGTGTTGTGGGGTTGTACCTGGCAATAACCCCTGCAATAACCCTCCAGAAGTTCAAGATACACCGTGATACACCTTCAAAGAAGCCCACGTAAAGGCCAGTCCAGCAGCTCCCATCGGGGCTGCAATGAGGAGTACCAGGCTAGAACAACCTCTAGATGTACACAGTGATTGCACAGTCCGTGCCTCGAGTCCAGCTCGACGGGAGTTTCGGAATTCGCCCGAGCAACGAGTCGAAGTCACGAGTCGAGTGATTCCTGTCGACGAGGTCGAAATGGGTGGGCAGCAAATGTAAAGCACGTCAAGCACTGCCCAGAAGAAAGCGCCGTTGACGACTAGTTGTAATAGGCAAATCGTAAATGCCTGATGCCTGCACATATCGAAGTATGATATCCAAAGCTACGCAAAAGCTTAAACACCAAAACCACTCGCTGACGATAGCATGTTGCATTATGCAGCTGTAAATCATGTTGGAAACCCTTTTCAAGTGTCGGTGATGACTTGCAGGCAGCTCCGGCCGCGCAGCGGCCTGGCAAGCCATTTCTGCTGCCCCTGGATGGTGCTGGGCGGCCGGGGGCGTGTTGGTGGCGGCCGGCCAGGAGGGAAATCCCAGCCGAGCTGTTTTGAACGAATGCCGCAAAGAAAGGAAACATCTACGATTGGATGTCCTAAAATCAGATACATGGTATGTAGAGTCAATTTCTTTGTCAATTCTTCTGAGAAGGGTTGAGGAGACTATGCCGACTGTGCCTATTCGCCATTTTGGACCTTTCAGGTAGGTCCAGACCGGTGGGATTCACTCGGATTTCACTCAGATCAGTGGGCTTTGAAGGCACTGAACGTGGCGACCTACAACGCCATTGGCAATGCCGGAGTCTACTATGGTTTCAAGCACATCCGGCTGGGTTTTAAAAACTTCATTCAACTGATACGGCTTAGATACAGGCGGGGGGGGAGAGTGACAGAAGCAACTATATTCTGTAGACTCTGTAGACTTGTCAACTTTGAGTTGACGGTTCTTTCGTGTTCTTTCCCTACCATCCACAACTGCCAGGTTGGGCCGCACCGTGCCATGGTGCTATGGCTTCCCTTTCAACACCGGTCTGCGGCACCCGCAGTACCTGGGCGTTGTGCTCACGCTCTTTGGCACGCTGCCGATGCTCATGAGCCTTGGACTGGAGAGGAGAATTCTTCTCGGCCGTTTTGGGGGAGATGGCCTGATGGGTGACCCCTTACCGTTTTGGAAGGCGTGATGGGTGACCAATGGTGGGTTTGATGGTTTTGTTTGTGCTTCGCAGTGGTGAAAAGTGACGCAGCTTGTTTCAGTCCACGTTCCATTTGCTTATTGTACTAATTGTAAGGGCTTCGCCCGGGTGCCGCCGACCCCCTTTCGGGAGGAGTGTAGCACGTGCAACTGAAGGCGTGTGTGTAGTGCCGGTGGCGGCTCGACGGAAGAGATGAGACGGAAGATGGGCGTGGACGGGGGTGAGGAGGAGAGGAGGGAGGGAAGGGTTTGAGGGCGCCTGGACGTCACCTTCGGGGCCCTAAAGA